CTAACATTTTATCACTCTGTGCTGTTAATGTTGTACAATACCTCTGAGAGTTCCTTCAAGGTAAAGTTTTTACCAACATTACTTCCTCTGGGGCATATTCATTCTTTTTGTCACAACCACTTTTCTCACTTATGGTCAAAAGCTCCCTTCACTAAGTTTCTCTGCTGCCTAGAAAGTCTCTCAAACGGTGGCAGTGGCAGCATTCCACAGTCACATTTTTCTCCTGTCATCCCATTTTTGTATGATTTGAACTTCAGCATTATCACTTTCTATTATTTTTTTTGTCGTGCTTTCATCTTTGAAGTATACATTTTTGTAAAATGTCACATGGGTTGATCACTGGGAGACATGGAGTCAATACAATGACCTGCTTTGCTTTCTGTGCATGAACTGGTAACAGATGGGTAGGAACACATCACCAAAAGACTGTGAGAGAAGTAAAGTGACTGGTTGCAGATCAGAATGTGCATCAATTATTTATGTAGTGATTTGTGGACTGAAGAACTAGCAGTGAAGTTTATACTTTATTCAATAACAACTAATAAACCGTGGTACCTGACATTTGAACCATGTTGTTGGTGGACTTGTGCTAATTAACTAAATAATTGTAATTGAAATTTGTGCATACAGAAACCATGCAAAGCAAGGACTGCCTGGATTTGATAAAGATGACTTTGTAGAGCACTAAGGAAAAGATGGAGTGGGTCATGAATAGTGGTGGTACAACTGATTACCCATACAGGAAAAAAATGAAAGTAGATTCCATCTTCATGTCATACACAAATATCAACTACAGATCCAGTAAATATCTACAGCTTAAAGATACAACTTAATATATGTATACATGTGTGCATACGTATGAACTGTTTATACATGCACATACAAATATGTGAACATTTATTTCTAGAACACCCTAGGGTAGACTTCTTAAAATACAAAACATGCTGAGCATTAGAAAAAATACCACATTGTTAAATTCAACTACATTAAAGTTAATAATTTAAGTTCATTAAAATATATCACAAACTGGACAAAATATTGTGGTAGTAACTGCTAGTTGTTTTCCCCTTCTTCAATCACTGCGGTGTTAGAGCCCACATTTCCCAGGAGTCTTTGCAGCTATGTATAACATATGACTAATTTCTCAGCAAGAAAACATGTAGAGAAGTAGTGTGTGCAGTTTCCACCTCACTGGCTTTGAAATGACTTTTGCCTTCACCCTAAATATTGTAGACAAGAACATGTATTTCCACAGAAGAAGAAATTCAAAAAAATGAAAGAATGCCGAATCTTCTTAGAAATCAGGAAAATGCAAATTAAGACCACGATGGGATACCATTTTATACCCATTTAGAGAAGGCAAGTAATAAGTGTTCCAGGTGTTTGTGGGGATATTGCACACCAGAAATTCTTGTTCACTGCAGGTAAGAGTAAAACAGTACAGTCACTTTTGGGGAAAAAGTGCTTGAGCTTATAAAGCTGAATATAATCATATTCGCTGATCCAGCAATTTAATTCTATGCATTTACCCTGCTGCCAGGTTTCTAAGCCTCAGTATTATTGACATTTGGCTTAACAATTCTTTGCTGTGGAGACTGTCGTGTGCATTATAGACTGTTTAGCAGCAACCAGGCCTCTACCCACTAGATACTAGTAGCACCCCCAATCCAATGTAATAACCTAAAAAACCTTCAGACATTGCCAAATGTCCCCAGAGAAGACAAAATCACTTCCATTGGGAACCCCTATCCTAGCGGAACTCTTGTTTTTATACACTAGGCAGTGGTTCTCAACCTTCCTAATGCCGCGACCCTTTAATACAGTTCCTTATGTTGTGGTGACCCCCAATTTCATTGTTACAAATTGAACATAATTAAAGCATAGTGATTAATCACAAAAACAATATGTAATTATATATGTATTTTCCGATGGTTTTAGGTGACCCCTGTGAAAGGGTCGTTCGACCCCCAAAGGGATCGCGACCCACAGGTTGAGAACCACTGCACTAAGAGATGTGCACAGTCTATTCAGTTTGTTTGAGACAGTCAAACTAGAAAAAACACATTTTATTAACAAGAGATAAAAATTTAATTATGTGAATCATGCAATAGAATATTCGATAGACATGAAAATAAATTATCTAAAGCATCACATAAGAAAATGAGTGAATCTCAGAAGCATAATCTTGAGTGGAAAAATAAGTGGAAGGCTTCAAATAGCATATCTTGATTTTTACAAAACACAAAAACTGTCAAAAGTATTTTCAAGGATACCTGCATAATTAGTAAAGCCCTTTTTTTTAAAGCAAGGATAAAAAACATCAAGAAATGATAAACCAAAAATTCAGAATAGCTACTTTGGCGGAGAGGATAGGAATAGCGAATACAGGTAGAAGCACTGGTATTGGTAATTTTCTAGGCTCAAAGTGGGGGGTGGGTTATCAGACCTTATATAATACAAATTTTGAAACTCATAGCCTAGATTTTCTATTATGGTAATTTTCTTTTCTTTTAGTGAAAAATATGCAGAATGTAGGAAGGAGAGTTTAGTTAAAGACTTTTAAAACTATGCTCTAGAGCCCTGGCTGAGGAGCTCAGTTGGTTAGAGGATCATCCGCCAAGGTTGTGGGTTCAGTTCCCAGTCAGGGCACATATAAGACTCAACTGATGAATGTAAAATAATTGGAACAACAAATCAGTGTTTCTCTCTCCCTTTCTCTCTCTGTCAAATCAATACTTTTTTAAAAAATTAAAAAGAAAATTATGCTATAGCAATTACTTTCAACTTTTCTTAACTGAGGTCAAATTGCCTTACCCTATCAGAGAAACCCATCAAAATTCCAAACCATCCAGCCAAAATCTAGCTCTTACCTTCAGCCTGCCTATCATGTTGTTTGTGTATTGTTTTTTTTAAATGCCTATCATGTTTTCGTCGTTTCTTGGAGGAGAGCTTCATATTCTTCTGGACGAGGCGAGGTCCCCTTACCATGTGGTACAATAATAACACTCTGTGTGTCACTTTAACACTATGTGTCATACTTTATTATACTTGCTTATTTCCTCTGTCTGCTCCCACCAGGCCCTGCCTTGTTCACATTTGAATGCCCAACCTGTGGCAAAGGGCCGGGCATAGCAGGTCCTCCACAAAGCACTCTTACATCAGAAGGCAGTGCTTTTCAACAAATGGTCTGAGGACCACATGAATCAGAATCCCCTCAGGTGCTCGTAAAAAAACAAGCAAACAAACAAAAAACCAGACAGCACATTTCTGATGAGTCAATACCTATGAATCAGAATATCTGGGTGTAGGCCCAAGAGGCTATTGTGTTTGTTTTAAGATATTCAGGTATTTCCTAAATATTTTGAGGCTTTGCTAAGTTTGCTGTAAATGTGAGGCTTTACTGAGGCTGTCTCTTTATCTTTGAGATACAACTTTGTTCAAGTTAAAAGAATAATGTTGGGGGAGGGGCGTGGGAGAGGGCAATGGGGGGAAAAGGGACATATGTAATAGTTTCAACAGTAAAGATTTATAAAAAATAAGAAAAAGAATAATGTTAAGTAGCTTCTCTTTTTAACAATGGGAAGGAAAATAAAAGGTTTGCAAGTTTCACTGAAGTGTTTCCTATACCTGCACAGATTTTGTTAATCAGTGTTTCACTGAAAAACAAACAAACTAGTATTTTAAAGATTAAAAATCATAATGTTTCTTTCCTTTTTCCTTTTATCATTTTTATTTTGTTGAATCAACCCACCTGGTAATAACACCCTACCCTACAAATGTCCAGCCTGCTCCTTCAAACAAACCCCTAACTCTTCCTCCTTTGACCTGCGGGGTCCCTGGTGATTGCCCTGTAGGTGCTGTTGCTATTGTTGCCACAGTGCCTCAACATCATCTCTTTCAGCATTTGGGGTTAGATCTTCTGTTTCTCTCTCACAACCAAGAGGAGTCTCAAAATGATTTTTAAAAACTAGAGCCTGGTTAAGCCAGGAATTCCTATTAGCTGTTCTGTTTGATTCATGCCCAAGTCTACAGTCTTGACTCTCATCAGCTCTTCTGCAAATCCATGCACTATTTCCAGGGAGACTTGGGATAAAAGCTAAATCTCAATAGAAGTTTCCATCCTTCATGACACCGTGCATAGAAGACAGTATATTATGTCTTTCCTTCCTCTATGTAATATCTTATTTCTGCCTCTTTCTAATAATTTCCTCTATATAAGTCCTCAACTCATTTTATCATGCATCTATTTCCTTCCTATACAATGCGGCCTTCCCTTTTCTTCTTTCTCTTTGGGTTGTACCTAGAATACCCATGCTTCTTTCTGGTAAAGGCCATTTTTAAGCTCTAAGCACTATATTTGGTATGAGGAGAATAAAGTTGAATAATATGTTATACCATACATCAAAAAACTAAAAGTCTAGCAAAAGGGAAAAAAGAAGTCTAGAAATAAATGTAATAAATGGTTACTAAAATATGTGGTTGCATTTTAGCAGTGAAGAATGGAGGTTCCAGAGTCAAACAAACTTATGTTTGAATTTAATATGTCTAAGGAAAATAAGGGAGACATTTAAAAATTAGAATTGACTGGACTAGTTAATAGGTGTGGGAGGGGTAGAAGGTGAGGAGAGAAAGGGAGAACAGGATGATTTCCAAGTTACTGGTTTGCTAAAAGAGTGCGGGGTAGGGAACCCAGCAGAAACACATCTGTAGGGAAACATGATAGATGCATTTTTGAGTATTACCTAGTAGGTCTGGGCACACACACACACACACGTGGAAATTTTCCTAGGATATTTTCTTCATAATAAGTAGCAGTGAGCTTTTTAAGTCCTATAATAAATATAATCTGACATCACTTCATTTAACTCTAATTTCTTAAAAGAAAAATTTCTCATCTCAATTTTACATGAATTGTACATCCATCGTTTGTTTCACCTGCCTTTTATGAGACTTTTTATAAATATTCAAAACAAACTTCTTACCAAGAAAGCAAATCTTACCGGGACCTGTGCCATCATGACCAATCAGAATTTTCTTCAATTTTCCAAGGGGCACTGCCTCAATGGAAAAAATATCAACCTGTAAAAGAAACGGAGTGACTGTTAGGACATTCCCTTTATCTAGAAAAAAAAGCATTGCAATCAGTACATTATTAGTAACTACAGTACAATATTACTATATATTACTACTATATCATTATTACTACCACTATAAGAATCACCATTTACTATGTTATGCACAAAGTCCTACGCTATGCCTTATGGAAAATATATAGGGTGTCCCAAAATTCACGCAAGATTTGAATTGCAAATCTTGCGTGAATTTTGGGATACCCTATACCAGTGATGGCGAACCTTTTGAGCTCAGCGTGTCAGCATTTTGAAAAACCCTAACTTAATTCTGGTGCCGTGTCAGATATAGAAATTTTTTGATATTTGCAACCATAGTAAAACAAAGATTTATATTTTTGATATTTTATATATTTAAATGCCATTTCACAAAGAAAAATCAACCAAAAAAATGAGTTTGTGTGTCACCTCTGACACGCGTGTCATAGGTTCGCCATCACTGCCCTATACAAACATGTAATATAATTCTTCTCCTCCTCAATCATACAGTCTAATAAAAATATTTTTAAAATTTAATCACAACATTTATTCTAAGTTTACTACTGCTAATTTCTTATTCATTTTCTTATTTTATTTTTTAAAAATATATTTTTATTGTCCTAGCTGGTTTTGCTCAGTGGACAGAGCGTTGGCCTGCGGCCTGAAAGCTCCCAGGTTCAATTCCAGTCAAGGGCACATGACTGGGTTGCGGGCTCACTCCCCAGTAGGGGCTGTGCAGAAGGCAGCTGATCAATGATTCTCTCTTATCATTGATTTTCTATCTCTCTCTCCCTCTCCCTTCCTCTCTGAAATTAATAAAAATATATTTTCAAAAAACAATTCCAACCTAGGCATGTAAATATTCCTTTCTAACTTAGAGTAAATTGACTGCCAATAAGAGGGTGGAAAAAGAATAAATAAAACTTGATGCTGAGGTCCGAGGGATCTAGTCCCTGCTGCAAACAGCGGTGGCATTGAGAATACACATCTTGATTATATTGTCTCCAGCTCTTTCCTTCTCTCCTTCTCTGCATTTCTTCTCTGTGCTTCCTGGGTTGCCTCCTGCCCAGGATCTGCCCTAGGCTGTGTTTTGGGAGAATTCACCTGAAGGTCTCACTTTTCAAGTGGGAGTTTAGACAGCCTATCTTTACTGTGGGGCCCAGACTGAATCCCAGCCTGATGAGACCTCTTAAGTCTCCACACGGCATCACAGGCTTCACTGTCATTTTCTGATTGGCTTCTTGCTTCTAAGCTTCCACTTACGAATGGCTGAAAGCGATGGTAAATACCAGCTACTCCTTTGGACGTTCTTCTTTCCAGAATCTTGGGTCCTTAAGCCTTAACTTCCTTGACAGCTCTCCAATGCCTTTAAAACATATTTAAAAGATGTTTATCACCCTAGCCAGTTTGGCTCAGTGGATAGAGCATTAGCCTGTGGACTGAAGGGCCCCAGGTTTCATTCTGGTCAAGGGCATGTCCCCTGGCTTTGGTTGGGGTTTGTGTGGAAGACAACCAATCGATGTGTCTCTCTCACATCCATGTTTCTCTCTCTCTCTCTCTCTCTCTCTCTCTCTCCCTCCCTACCACTCTCTCTAAAAATCAATGGAAAAATATCCTCGGGTGAGGATTAACAAAAATAAATAAAAGATGTTCATCAAACATTTCTAATTCTCAGCAGGATGGCCATTTTGTTACAAGTTAGACTGCCCTAGCTGGAAGTAGAACCTTGATTGTTTTATTTTTATTTTTGTTTTATTTATTTTTAATAGGAGAAAGTGGGACTTACTATGGTTGCATTGTTCTGGTTCAGCCCCACCTCAACTCCAGAGCAATAAGATGCACACCAAGAAGTGACCTCACCTCTCTGTACTTTCTATTTGGTACCAAATGACTATTCAGGAATTTTCTGAGTGTGTGTCTTTTTAAATAAAGAAATTATAGGAAGTGTGGGGGGTAACAATTTATAAGGATCTTTCTGTTACCTGTCCCTGTTGAAACTTGACTTTGTTATTTTGGGACTGGTGAAGACTTCGATTCCCCAAGTCCCCCCTGGAGCCGATGAGGTTGATAAATACATTAGACTCTGTCCCGGCACCTGGCCTCCTGCCAGTGCATATGTAGACCTCATAAACCACCACTGAAATGTCAGAAATCTCATATTATTTTTCTCATTTTTATTTTCTCTTTGAATTTATTAGATACCCTGGAGAAAAATCTGACTGTTCTTTAATCTAGTTGACACGACTTTCTCTATGGTACTTGGGCCCACTCCTTCTTATGTGTACCCCTATTCAAGCATACTCTCCACCACTTCATGTTTATCTCATTCATACAGACGCCCAGCCATTCCCACAACTACTGTTTCAAAATAATTATTGTTAACAATTATGCACTTTCATTAACCACTACACTTTCACAGTTATTATAAGAAGTTGTACTTAAAACACACACACACACACACACACACACACACACACAACTCTTCTCTCTCTTATTTAGATGAAAGTGGCAATTTTTCCCCCCTGAAGTTGGCCTATTCTAATCACAGCTGGTCACTCATGCTGCTCCTTCATGGAGATTACTATTCTGTGAGGATTTTTAATAATCTTGATAGAGAAGAAATACAAAGACCCTAGAGAATTGCAAATTTAAATATAATTCTAAAGAAAGAGCTCAGTGAGGTACCAGCAAACTTTAATCCACCATATTTGACCTTAGAATTAAGGTAATTTCCAAGACACTGGTAAAAGTCACTAAAATTAAAAAAGAGACTTTTCTAGCTGGTACTACTCATATGAATAATATCTTGGACACAATGAGTACTTGTTATTTCAAGTTCTAGAATTCTTTATAAGTCATACTCTGTGCAATTGAACAGTTGCATTTATAGAAATCCACATTAACATTTTCGAAAAAACTCAGACATAAAAATCCAACAAGAAAACAAGGTACGTGAGAAACATTGCCTGTTTCCATCATGCCTGACCTTTAGAAAGACAAATGTGGTATATTGGGAAATGGTGTAAGCAGAGAAGATAAATCAGCTTCTTGGGCAGTCTCACATGTTCTAAAATACCCCAGAGTGAAAGCCAGCTGAGCTGAAGCAAAAAATTTAGAACACTTCTCATGAATTTAGGACAATGAAAGAAATCTTTTAAACTACCTATAAAGGAGATCTGGTCTCACAACCTGTGCAAGTACCTGAGCTGAATTGGCTGAAACTGACACTGGAATGCTTCATGAAAACAAGTGTGTGGACAAGCATGATTGGAAGTCTTTACAGGGAGACCATGATTTTGTTACTGGAATTTTTTCTTCATTTCAGGTGATAAGTGAACTCGTTTACAACTAAAAAAAAAAAAATTAAAAAAAGGACATTAAAAATATTAAAACAGCCCGGCTGTGGTGGCTCAGTGGTTGAGAGTTGACCTATGAACCAGGAGGTCACGGTTCATTTCCGGTCAGAGTACATGCCCTGGTTGCAGGCTGGATCCCTAGTAGGAGGTGTGCAGGAGGCAGCCAATCAATGATTCTCTCTCATCATTGATGTTTCTATCTCTCTCCCTCTCCCTTCCCTCTCTGAAGTCAATAAAAAATATATTTAAAAAAATATTAAAACACAAAGTTAAACTAATCGTTCATGGTTTAAAAAGTATACACCAAAAATTATTTAGATCAAAGACCATATACTTGTAGCACAAAATGCAGCACTCAGCCCTCCCTCAGCCATTGTACCTGCCCCATGATCAATTCATCCCCCTTCCCTGCTACCTGCACACACCTCAAATACTTCTTAACACTGTGTTCCCAGGAACAAGTTTAATACACATAATTAGACCAGAAAAATTTCCTCCTAGATTTAGGTAGCTATTGCCAGAGAAATGTCCTAAAGGGAAGCCATCTTCACAATTTAGGATGATTTTGGATAAATTATGAAAGAATTTTAAGTTATTCTGCTCTTAATGTCACCAGAATTAACAATGATATATTAAAAAGCAATGGCCGTGTTCACAGGATTGTCTATTGTCAAAGCCATTGTCTACCCTCATGCTGAGCGTATCCTGCAGGACTGCACTTGTCCGGGTATTGAGTGTCTTGGTCTCCGTGTCCTAACCCTCATGTGCCGTTAAGTGCAGTGCTCACGTCTTTTTCCATTTCGAACCCCTACCTCCCAGCACATGTCAAATGTTCACTGAATAATACTGAGTAAGTGAATGCCTAGTACTCCCTCCATCTAGGAAAAGTGTTGTGCGCTGCTCTCTGCTGGTTGCCCACAGAACTGCTCAAGCAGGAATCACCAGACTGTGCCTCAAACCCACCCCACCTTCCCAGGATCGTTCTGCTACTAACTTTGCTCTCATTGCCCAGTTTATTTCAGGGTCCAGATGGCTTCTGGCCCTTTGGATTTGTCTCCTGGTCTTAGATCTACATGTGCTATCAGGAACTGACAATAGAATTTGGCTTCCTAGACTGAGCCTCTCTGAAGACTACCATCCACACGGGAGTGACTGAAGAAGGCAAGGGGTAGGCAAGGAGTTACCGTTGTCAAGTACTTCATGCCAGACATGTGCTAGAAGCTTCACTTAAGTGAGCTTATTTAAAATGCCTCTTTACTAGTATATGCAGTATGGCCTAGTGGTGTTATTCTATTTTGGTTCAAATCATCCAAGAATTCTCAATCTGTTACTGAAAAAAAAATTCTCCATTTTTAAAATAAGCAATAGAGTCACATAAAAAATATCATTCTTCCAGCTGTATCCCTAAAGTCTCAAGCTTTCATTCTCCTCCTAGGGTACATGGTTGAAATTTTCATTAGGAAGTGACATATGGAATTTACCCTAGAGAGATGTGCCCCTGTGCAAATGGGTGTAGGTGGACAGAGACACACACACACACACACACACACACACACACACACACACTCACACACTCCCTGCCCTGAGTTGGGAGCAAACACATTAATGCTCAGTGAAACTCATGGGACCTTAAATTTTAAGTAGGGCCCAAAATGGAAAATTCTCCACCCAGGGCCTTCCAAATATTTAGCTCCCCAATTCAGAGATGGGGAACCATAGAGTCTCCCAACTCCTTCCAGCTGGCAAATGACCATGGGGCCACGGGGCCATGATTTCTCAGTCCCCTTCCCTCCATTCATGGAGACAGACTCTCAAAACATTTCAGGTCCTACCAACCTGTGGTGACATAAACAAATAATCACTGAGTCTAAGGTCATGAACTTTGCACTTGTGCCCCCATCCTTGTCAAAGTGCACACAATGGCTTTAGTGAATGTAAGGGTTTTTTTAATTATTTTTTTTCTAATTAGAAAAAAGAAATGTAACTGTTTATGTTTGGGGGACTTTTCTAGTGCCATGTTTTTATCATGATGTTCCAATGTTCCTAGGTAATACTCAGTGACTTTGCCCTGCCGAGCTCTTATGCCCTGTCGAGTCCTTATGCCCTGTGTGATGCGGCTCCTCTCTGCACATGGGCACCTGTGATGCTGCTCCGACCACCTCAGGAGCATAAGCATCATTGCTGAAAACTGGGGAGCTCTATAGGCAGCACAACTGAACTTCCCAAGACAAACCCCTCGGCTAAATCTTTAATTTGATTTAATTAATGGACTGTTTCAGTGCTTTCTCTCAAGTCACCAAGAATGAAGCTTTCTCAGCACTCATCATGGTGAGATCATGTTGATACAAACTGCCCAAAGAAATCAGATCTCAGAAACAGATGGTAAATGGGATTCAGTGCTAAGCATGTGCCGACACTTCAGTCTGCACTGAAGGTTTGTGGTCCAAGACTTTATATACATTGGTGTTTAGGGCTGAAGCTTCATGTGCTTCTATCTAGGTGGTAAAATATTTACCTTTGAGCTGTAGGAGGAAGTCCCAGGGTGGGGAGGGAAGTGGAATTTCTTGCTATTTTGTAGAAGGTCACCCACAAGGCCTAGTGAAAAGATCCCTTATCACTAGGAGACCTGACCAGGAGCTGGCCATGCAGAGGCCTGGGGAGGTACAGCACAGTAGATAAAATAGAAGATCAGGGGCCTGAGGGCTAAGGGGACAGCTTGCCTGGTGCCCTGAGGGAGCACTGAGGCTGGAGCTGTGGGGAGGGTGATAGGCCTTGCAGGAAGTTGTGATGATTTTGGCTTTTACTCTTGGTAAGTGGGGAAACCTTGGGAGGGTTATAAGTAATGGAGTGACATCATCTGCCTGATATTTTCTGGAGACCACACTGGCTATGGGGCTGAGAGCAGCCTGTCCTAAAGCCAAGGTGCTCTTTGTGTTTGCCCTCCCACCATGATAGCAGCTCCGTGCTATGAAGGAAGCAGCAAAGAAAGACAAGTCAAAGGGAGAATGCAAAGGCACTGCTGAGTGCCTGCTCCGTGACAAATGCTGTATTCATACCTTTTCACATACTCCTGAGGGACACGTATTTCTGGTGTGCCTGGAACGGTCCCGACTGACACCTGTTATTCTCACATACTCATTAACAGAGCCTTTCTCCTCTCTAAAGAAATGTCCTGGTTTGGATGGTGAATTATAATGGTGATCATGACCTAATCTAATAATAAGATTAATGTGCCCCATTTCAGAGGCAAACTAACCAAGACTGAGAAAAGCGGTGCACCGTGCCCTCATTCCGAAGCCAGTGATTGAGACCAAGACTTGAATCCAGACTCTGCTTCTCTGGGCTCCAGCTGTTTCCTCAATGAAAGGGTCTGTCTCTGTCCGAAGCCCACATTTCCCCCTTGAGCCTGGGTACTGTGGTAAAGGCTAAAGCATGAAAGGAAGCCTGCTTGTTATTTTAAACTTATCTTAACTCGGTTATTATCATCCACAACTTGCTGTAAGATAGAAAGTGTTTCAGAAACACATATTTTCTCACTACTTAAAGTCTGATAAATGCACATATTTGGAAGCAGACACATTTCTACTATGATGGTACTTTCTTACAGTCAAAGGTAGTTATTTTCTATTTCAGAGCACCGCTAAGCATACCTGTGCCCTTGCAGAAACCTAGCATCCAACACTTCCTCACACACAGATATGGTCCAAGACCCCACTTCGCATCATCATCTGTCTCTCCTGAAGAAAGCCTAGAGCCAGAACATGTGAAGCAGCTATGGTGAGTTCAGTTGATATTCTTATCATCTCTGGGCATCCCCACCATCCATTACCTAAAGATTTTTACAGACAACCAACCAAGGGCGATCGGCAGCTCCTGGTGCCTGTCCCCAGGAACAGGGCAGACGGTGAGCAAATCGGAGCTGGTGTGGATGGGTTCAGCTTGGCATACTAGCGCCTGGGAGGAGATTGCTCTGATCCCACCAGCAATCTAGCTCAGCCCCCAAAGAGTGGTGATTTATAGACAGATAGTCTCGAAAAGCCTTTTCTTTTGAAAACATTCCAGTTACCATTTGAAAAGAAGAGGCAAAGTCACAAAATTAATTGGCTCGAGTGTTAAGTGCCAATTATAAGGGAAAGGACTCTTTTCTGTGCCACTAATTTAAAAAATAAATAAAACCCTCAAGGGTGTCACTAGAACTCTATCCAGCCTGGCAAGCCTAAGCATTAGTAGCTTCATTAAAAACAAAAAGTTCCTTTACATTATTCTTTGTGTTCTTCCCTGGGCTACTTCAAAACATTTTGACAGATGGACAGACATATCCCAAAATGAAGGTCAACCCCTCCTTTCAAACCCAGAACAGAGAAGCACCAACGCAATGGTGTGAGTCTGCTCTGCCTCCCCTTGATGTCACAGGAATAGTAAGTGAACCTGTCGGTGGCATCAAGAATGACTTTCCAAAAGCAACACCAAGCATGACCAGACTGCCCCTTGCTCATCAGTAGGTTTTGATCCCTCATTAATTCCTGAACATTGATGTGTCGTTATTTTTTTATTTTCCTATTTTAATGATTTCCCCCTCAATGTCTGGGAAAAGGGCAGCTAAATTGATTTGCCAGAACTGGAATAAAATGAAAAGACTGGACCAGATTAGCTTTAGGTGTCATGTATTACATGATATTACTTTATAGGAGAAATTGCTGTAAGAAAGGGTTGGTGTGCTTCAGCTAAGAAATTACCCCTCTAAATGGGAGATGCTAATGGGTAAAGTTTCATTAGCTAGTTTGGGAAATGGATGAACAGAAAGATGCAGAGGAGACATGCTGAGCTTTTATTGCTGCTCAAGTTAAATGAACCCCCAAAATCAATAGTTCATTTAAAGTACAATGAGTTTCTTTTGTATCTTGAATTTTTTTAAAAACCCACACAACTGCTTTCTACATTTTTGCATGCAATGTAGTTGTGCAATTGAGTTTAAGTAAAGTTCTTTTTTAAATAATGCAGCTTTTAAAAACACAATACATTGAGACATAACTAGTATATCAGACCAATAAGATTTCTTCTGTTTCTTATTGGCATCATGGATTTAAAAGTTCTCCTATATATCACGTTTAGAAAGAATGGATTCTTGACAGATGTTAGCAACTTGGTGAATAGTATAACTAGGTCCTAGAATTCTAGACTGCTAGATATTAGCTCTAATTTTTTCCTCACATATCCTCTGTAATTTCTAACATTCCTATATTAGTTAAGAATGATTCATGTAGCAGAGCATGGATCATTTTCTGAGTCTTTAAAAAATTTTATTCAATTTATTTAAACAGCATAAAAAAGACAGTTTACCCATTTCTCCCAAACCTCAACCCACTCCACTTGTAGTCACTAATCTGTTCTCTGTATCTGAGCTGGTTGTTTTTTGTTTGGGTATTTTTCCACATATAAGAATGATAATACAAGATTTGTCCTTCTCTGTCTGGTTTATTTCACAGCATAATGCCCTAGACATCTGTCCATGTTGTTGTAAATGTCAAGATTTCAATTGATAACCACTTATATTATTTCCACACCTTGGCTATTGCAAGTAATGATGCAATGAACATGATACTGCATATATCTTTTTCAATTAGTGTTTTCATTTTCTTTATATAAACATCCAGAAGTGAAATTGCTGGACTACATGGTAGTTTTACTTTTAATGTTTAAAGGAAATGCCATACTGTTTTTCATAGTGGTTGCACCATGGCATGCCTACCAACAACAGCACATAGGATTCCCTTTTCTCCACATGCTCAGGTTGGGATGTGGTAGCTCAAAGCATCAGTGAGCTGTGGAGGGAAGCCTTCTGAGGAAAGCCGAAGAGAAGAAGCCGATGAAAGGGCAGAGAGAGGGGAGACGACAGACCGAACATGTTAACTGAAGCCATGAAAACTGAACAGCTTCTGGGGAACAGGAGCCCTGTCTGAATCATCTTATGTCCTCTGGTTCCCATTACACTAGGCAGCTAATGCCCATTGTATACATATGTTTACCTTTACTTGTGTAGAATGGCAGGATAGACCATGAACAGCTATTAAAGATGATGAGGGTGAATTGCCTAATGAAATACGGGGGCTGTAAGCAAGAAAGAGGACAAGGCTGACGATGAAATGTTAGTCCTCTGTGTAAAGTTAGCAACAGAAGTTAGGGAGAGGCTCAAAAAGATAGTGACAAATCAAGTATTTAAACTCATGTGTTCAAGGAAAGAGAACCACATAGAGGTAGTGACTTAAAAAAAAATTTTTGTATCATATAACCGAGGTCAGGGTGAGAGACATATTTAATAACAATGATGGTAATAGCTAGTATTTATTACATGATTCTATGTACCAGGAAGACTAAGTGCATTGTCTCATGACTCAAAACAATCCTGTGACATAGGCACTAGTTTCATCATTTCACAGATGAGGTATTCTGGCTAAGGATAGCACAACCAAATACCTCACCAAGCCAAAACTAAACCAATGTGTCTAGTTCCAGAGTCCCTAGAAGTCTCTGCCTATTCAAATGAGAGATCAACAGTGTCAAATGCAGTAAAGAATTCTAGGACACAGAGAAAACACACAGACACACATTTAATTTAGGACAAATGGCCATTGGTATCTACTGGGAGAATATCTTCAACACAGCAGTGAAAACAAGGTGATTATCAGAGATACACGGAATGGATAGAGAAAAATTAAGGCAGTGTGTGAGTTCACTTTTAGACAAAACAAAACAAACAAAAACCTGAGTGAGGGAATTTAGGTGCTTCTAAATTCATGATTGACAATATTTACTACCTGTATAGCCAAGAAGAAAGCCACATTGAAACGGCTAGCAAACCATTTGCAGAAGGATGAACTGACAACACACATAATACATCCTTGTATGTACATTTTCACCTTTGAACAACCATGCAAGTGTTAATCCTAAAGCCTGATGTTCTAAATAAGGAAAGCTACAGCCTGCAAGCTAAATCTTCCAGCATCTGTTTTTGTACAGTCCAGGAGCTAAGAATGCTTTTCACTTTTCTTAATGGTTAAAAAATTAAAAAACAGAATATTATTCCTTGATAAATTGAAATTATATAAAATTATAACTACAGTTCCCACAAATAATTTTTTTTAAATACAGCCACACTATTACTTTACATATTATTTATAGGACCTGAACAGTTTCAAGACTTTATGATATCCTATTCTTTGTGTCTGGATCTTTACTGGAAAAGGTTCCTATTCTCTGTTCTATATCATTTCAATTATTTTCATCTTTAATGTCAATCACAAAGGAAGCAAAATTAAATACCTGGCAAAGATGCTTTGTTAGTTCTCACAATGGGCATTTCTTTCCATGTATCGCCATCATTTTCATTCTCAGCTATCCAGGAGTCAACAGTTAGACAAAACAGCTCACACGTGTCTATGTTTTCAAGTTGAATTTCTTCCAGATACCACCTGGGGTCCTTCCCACTGTTGTCATGTCCAATACGTATTTTATAGATTTCACCAATATCTTTAAGATTAATCTGCAGCACAAAGGAGAAAGGGGGGGAAAAATTTCCTACATCTCTGATCTGATTTGTCAAATTACAAATTCATATTCAGTTGTGAACTCAATATCTACCCCCCCCCTAAATATTTCTTACTAATTTCCTTTAAAACTAGTTACTTGTAAATGCTAGTATTTATGGCAAAGCATAAATTCATTAATGTATTAAATCCAGCTAATTTTCACTACATATTTTTTTAGCAACTCACTGTTATTACCTTGAAAAATAAATGTTTTATTGTAATTATTGATATCCACTATTTATTCAGTGGTTAGACCTAAAGAAAATAATCTAACTTTCTGAAGTCTATAGTACATTATGGTTTTTTTTTCCTATTAAAGTGAGGTCCCAAGGAAAAGAAACCATATATGCTTCTGAGTTTAAACTAGGGCTAATCAAATAGCCCTGAAACAGAGTGACTTTGTATTGGAAAGTGTGATTCCCCGCCCCTCCCCCTGCCCCCAGTTTTACTGAGAAATAATTGACATGCAGCACTGTACAAGTTTAAGGTGCATAGCATGATGGTTTGATTTACAATAGGTTCAACTAACATCCATCTTCACACATAGACTGAAGAGAAAAGAAAGAAAAAAAAAGAAATATTTTCTCTTTGTGATGAAAACTCATAGAATTTATTAGCTGTAGTCATCATTTGTACATTATACCCCTGGTACTTATTTACCATATAACTAGCAGTTTTTACCTTTTGACTATCTTCAAAAGATCAGAATTCTTAGACATGATACAAAAAGCATAATCCATAAAAGAAAAAAACCCTGATAAATTGAATTTCATCAAAATTCAAAACTTTT